CGATCACCCTTTTCAGTGCTATTCGCGCATAAAATACTCTCACTACTACATTGTAAAAGTTTCCGAAAAAGAGAGCATAAATTATGACGCTTAGATGAAAAATGATCAGTCGCATAATCGAAACCTGAGAAATTTTTCAAAACGAAAAGTTCGCCTTCGTAAGGATTGAGTCCAAACAACTGTTCAATCATTTGCTACCCGTGTCCAGACCATCTCTGCCAGTTCCGAGGTCACAACTATGTTATTTGAGCTCTATGTCAGTTTGAAAAATGTATTTATTATATTTCAAATGAGTGTACTCAATGTAAAAAAGCACTTTTAATCATTAACCAGCAAAACTTTGGACAAAACACCTATTGCAAGCCGTGGTGGTCGATTCTTTACCGAGACTCCTACGTGCATATTTTTCTGTCTCTGTGTTACAAATGCTAGATTATGCAACGGAAATGAGGTCTCGCGATTGGAAAAATAAGACTGTTTTGGGACCGGATATGCGATCGTCCATAAGACACATGAATTAAAAAGTTTACAGTTAATGTTCAAAACTTAACCACGGACAGTTTCAAGGTTTAGCCAAATGAAAAAATACACCCATATAAGGCTGCAATGATCGCATTCGCATACTGAATGTCCACAAATTAGATTGTCGAGGCATAAACTTTAAGGATATAATCAGAAAGTCAAACCAATTTAAGCAAAAGACGACTATTAACGTGCAGTTGTAGCAGAGGCAGTTGACTGAATTCACAAAATTCGTGGCGAAAAAAATTATTTCACTTGTGAAGTGTGTACCCATTTCTACAGCTTTTATCGGTCCAGAAGTACAACAATCGACCAGATCACCAGATTTATGTAAACTTTAGCTCAATAAACATGACCTCTATTCCAAGGCCCAATTAAAGGGCCGGACATTAATTTGGATTAAGCTACAAAAGAGAAAATCACCCTTTATTTGTCCATTCCATCGTAAATAACCTAGACGCGAAAGCGCCAACCAGAAGACTAGAAATCGGAGACTACCCAACCAACCCAAATGATCCACTTTTAACAGCAAATCTCTGACAGGAAAAGAAGGCTACCCATTCAATACAAATAGTTACTATGAGAAAAATTCGGTGAACTAGTTAAATTGCCAACAAGGTTACGGAACTCCTGATATTACTTAATCGATCAGAAATGGGCCACGTTAAGGGCATTTAGTTGCCCTAAACGAGTACAAATTACCGAACAAACCTTATCTAGTCGCTCCACTAGATACTCAAATGATGGCCGATGCACCGGACTATAGCGCCATGTAGCCAACAAGAGTTGGTAAAGTCGTCGAGGGCAGGTGGTCCGAGGCCAGGCCAACCGGTGCCCAGCCCTAAGTTCAGCCAGTACAGCGTCAGAGGAGAGACCGGACCAGGGCTCCGCTCCCCCACTCCACACCTCCCACACCGTCACACCCCAACTCCATACGTCGGACGCCTGAGAAAAACGACGGCCCTGAATCGCTTCGGGTGGTGACCTGTGAAGAGGGAATGTCAGCACATGAAATGTTTGTGCCTTCAACCCACGAAATTTGTAACAG